TGGGGCTGGGTTTGGGGCTGTTTTTGGGCTGTTTCTGGGGCTGGTTTTGGGGCGGGTTTGGGGCTGGGTTTAGGGCTGGTTTTGGGCTGTTTTCTCGGGTATTTCGGGCACTTTGCTGTCAGCAGCTGCTGTTTGCAGGCTGTTGACACAGCCCCCAGGCTTAGTGGAAGGCTGAGCATTTCCCTGAAGAAGCTGCTGAGATTGCTCATCCTGGCACTTACGAATCACCTACAGAAGGCACCACATGAAGAGGTCCGGGCTGAGCTGAGGCACTGCTGCGAGGCTGAAGGCCACAGACCCTGGATTTTAACCAAACCAGGGAATGCCCATTAGAAAGGTCTCACAAAATGAGCGAAATTTGGGATTTTTCTGAAAAAGCAGAGTAGAAAGTAGTAAAGCAGGAAAAAAAAAAAAATAGAAAACCACAAAGATCTGTACATACTATCCCCACTTTTTAGGAGCTGGTAACAGGAATTCCTCTCTCTGCAGGCAGCAAAATGCCATTTCCATGGATCGTGCCCTCAGCGCTTTGGTTGGTGCTGCACCTCACAGCAGGTAAGAGAGGCTTCTTCCTACACAGCAATTATCTCTCAGATTAAGCACTCAGCCTAATTAGGGTGGGGTTTTTCCAGCTTCTACTCCGAGTGCCAGGGAACATCTCCATTTCTGGAGTTAATAAGTGATGCAGGGAGTTTGTTTGGCTTTCAGTTCAAGGTAGAGCTGTTGGTTTGGTGACAAAAGGCAGCGGGACAGGCAGAGCTCATGAACTTGGGAAAGTCACAGAATCCCAGAATTTGGGTTTGGGCTGGAAGGACCTCAAAGCCCACCCAGTGCCACCCCTGCTGTGGCAGGGACACCTCCCACTGTCCCAGGCTGCTCCAAACCCATCCAGCCTGGCCTTGGGCACTGCCAGGGATCCAGGGGCAGCCACAGCTGCTCTGGGAATTCCATCCCAGGGAACAATTCCCAATTCCCAATGTCCCATCCATCCCTGCCCTCTGGCAGTGAAGCCATTCCCTGTGTCCTGTCCCTCC